GCTTTAAATTGAAAATAATATAAAAGATGAGGAATTTGCTATATTTTTTAATCTTGGTCAAATTTGCTATATTCTTTAATCCTGATTAAGAACCACCCCATAATTGATTCTGGGATTCATCTGTCCTCTTTCCACATCTTACATGTACAACAGAAAGCCTTGACTTATACAGAGCTGTTCTAAAAATTGTTATCACAACATCTGCAATGTTAACATGATAAAAGGGAGGTGATTATGATCACTAATAAATAATCCCATTGATTCTGATTAATTTAATTTTAATCCAGTTGAAATATAAATTTAGTCACATTTAGTGTTTTCTTCCTGGCCCCACCTACTTTCTCAGCCCTATACAGAATTGAGCACGTGCCTTTGAGGCCTAATTCATAAATCTCTCTAAACTGTTGTGTGTTCTGTGAACCCAGACGCTGTGGTTTTTAAACCATGCATTGTGTCTGGAGATGTCAAGCAAACCTCAGGTTCTGTTTAGGTTGGATGAAATGCTATTTTCAATGCTATAAAGAAGTGCCTGGGAAAAACTGTCTCCAGCATTGCAAAGCATGACTTGGTAAGACTGAAGTGACCAACAGTGCGATCCTAAATATGTTTAATCAGAAATAAGTCCAATGGAAATCAAGGAGAGTTACTTCTAAAAAAAGGATATAGGGCTGAACGTTCTGTTCTGTCAGCAAGTGTGAGAAAATCCTATAGATGCATCTGAGGATTAACGCAGCTTTCAGAAGACATCCTACCTTGTACATTTATGTTAACTCATTGGAGAATTTGTGAAACTGGAGTTCCCTACAGAAGATTTTTTTTAATTAATGCAAGGAGGATTACATGGGAAGTTGCTTTTTTTTTTTTTAATCTTCTGCAGAATTCATGATTTCTTACCCGGAAAACGAGGAAGCGCAAGAAAAGAGCATTGAATGTCTTATCAGCCTGTTGAAAGAGGAAAAGAGTAGGATTTTGTCATGCAATTGCTTTCCTTTCACTTCATTTTCATATTTTGACATCCTGGGTTCCATGGTAATCAAGAGGGTAACATAGCCCTGGACCTGGAGGGCTGAGAAAGCTAAGATTATACACTGCGCTGCCTTGGAGTTTATTTTCATAATGTTTTGTTGAAGAAGCCATAATGGCCTGCTTAAGTAAGGCATAGAAGCCTCTATGGCTGATTCACACATCTTACCAAGGTTATGATGATGAGTGGAAGATGTGAATTCAGGCTGTGGCTTCTGTTTCCAGATCACTAATTACTGTGTTGTAGTTCTATTGGACAACAGATCTAGGTTAGTCATCCTCAGATTAATTTCTGATATTGTACTATGCAGAGACTGTCCAAAGGTGGGTTGGAAATCAGTTTTAAAACAAGGGTGGGAAGCCTATGGCTCTTGGACTGTATCTGCTGCCCGTTGGTCTAATTTCCTATGGTTATCAGCCTGATTTCCAAAATCCCTTTGCAAATGATCCCTTTTAATCTGGGCATCTGTATTTCCCAGTATTTCCAACCTGTGCAAAAGACCAATAAAACAATAATCCCAATTGATGCTAAAAGTGACGAAAGCAATAAATAAGGAATAATTATGAATGAAAAATGAAGTGAAACAGCTGCAGTTTCTTCCCCACAGTCGGTGTAAAAGTGTTCCTTCGACTTGTGGATCCTGTGATTTGTGCAATGAACAAGCACATTGATTCTCTTGAGATACTGTTAGCTGGATTTTCTTTGCTGCTTGGGATCACTGGGAGAGGTGAGATGACCAGCGACCTCTAGGTTCCGTGATGTTACCAAAATGATTATTTATTGTTCCTTAATTGAACAGACAAAAGGCGGTTGAGCAGTCTGGAGGACAGTTACTCAGACCTTTTGCTGAGAACAGGCTTTAAACCATTGTACTACCCTCTATCTCTTTCCCTGTAACTGCTTTTCACAGATTTTAATTCACAGGGTCAAAGAAATACTAAGCAATCCTGCAATAAAGATATTGTTCCCAATCCAAACTTCCAAATGTGTTGGGATTACAACTCCCAGAATTTCCAGGCAGCAGTGACGTTAGAGCATGTTCCTAGGACAGGGAGGTCCACATTTCAAATCTTCATCCATCATGATTGTGACCCTGAGCCAGATCCATCTCAGCCTGGCCTGATAAGAGAAGAGATTGGGGAAGATTTTCTTCCTTGAAGGAAAGGGCCATAGAGATAAGAACGAAATCATTTTGTCTGGGGCAAAGGGAGAAGAATAATTCCACCCATGATGCAGGAAGTCCTACATTACCCAAATATCTTCCACTGCATACCCTCAATACACAGAAATACAGATTAACAATTTGAAGGAAAACCTTGCCATGTTATCTCAACCTTCTCTGTAAACACAACACATTTCCCCCCTTGCGCCTGCAACCCTCAGAAGGCACGAATGAGATTTTTTTTTGTGCTTAAGAGGATCTTTTGCTCAAAAGGAGAGATTGGAATCAACATCGATACTTCCTATGTCACTTTCTGCTTTTGACAGCTGTAGGTCAGAACTTGAACGTGGAGCTCCTGGCCTGCGAAAGCATTCTCAGCTGCCTGCTGAATTCGATGAGGACCCATTCAGACAACGAAGAGCTTCTCTGTATGATCTGCACTTTATTTATGATGATGTCCTCCAACGGTAAGCTGTGTTATTCCAGGCACTGTAACTCTGCTCTCACTCAACCTGGTGGCCATGCTGGCTGGGAATTCTGGTACAGCTCTGATTACGGAAGATTGGTCTACAGCCCTACAATCCCACCCACTGTTCACCACAATCCCCTCTTTTTTCCCCACTTTCCAGAAGCAGCTGCAGAAGCCCTCCGGAGAGCCAACATTTTCACTGACATCTTGACCATCTTGAGTAATTTTCCTCACAATAAAGAGATCTGTGTTGCTTGTTGTGGGATCATCTGGATCCTGGCTGTCAACGGTGCGTACAAGAAGGCAGCAGATGCATCAGATTGTGCAGCTGGAAAAACACTGCCTACATCTGGATGCTCTCCCCTAGCTCTTCCCTAACATGTTTGTGGCTAGTTTGGACTAGGAAAAACTAGTGGCTATTTAGGAAGCTCAGGAAGAAGGTGGGCAGGCAGAATGGTTGAGCTCATGGAAGCAGCCATGTTGATCTAGCGTAATGGGAAGGAGTAAAAGGTTTCGGAATTGCGTGCATGCAGAAAGGATGTCCCTTAGCACAGTAATTAATCTGTGATAGGAACAGGAAGCAGTCAATTGAATGATCTGTGCAGTCAATTTAAACCTGTTTAATAAACCCTGTTAAAGGACCCACACATCTCCTACTGCATTTCCTGACTAGTGTTAAGGTTGCCTTCTTTTGTCAATTCAGTGGCCGACGTGACTGAGAGCCCACTGAAATACGCCACTGAACTGGTCTCCATCGTTTTCCACATGCATCTCCACCACGTGGAAGTTGCAGAGACAGCCTGCAGTGCCTTTTGGGCCCTTTCTCTTCACGGTGAGTGTTCAGAGACTGCTTGGCCCAGAGCGAGGGAGAAGATGGGCCCTTCAAGGAACGGCTTGGGCAAGCAGCATCTTGCAGGGATGGCTTCCAGCAGCAGAAGTCCTGTCCTATGAGATGCCTTGGACAATGGAGAAATGTTGGGCTTGCAAAAAGGTGGGGTGGGCTGAAAGCTAAGCCAAAAATGCCTTTCCAGAATTGTTTGCATATCAATTATCAGCAAGCTGTAAGGTAGTTTGCCCAAGTGTTGCTTTGTAAGCCAGATTGTGATCCAATATGTTCCATAAACCCAGCCAATTGTGACTTGTTCAACAGAGCGTACTTAAATCCTGAACATGGCAAAAGTTTTCCCATTGTAGCTTCCCAGATGTCTGTCCACAAGGCCTTTGAGAATACCAATGCAGATGCTTATTTTTGGCATAGTTGGGTGAATTCAGCCCATGGTAGCTGATGAAACAAATCATGGCTTAACATAGATGTTCGCCAAGAGGTAAACAACAATGAAAGGATTCTCTGTAGAAAGTAACGTTTGAGAATGTTCACAATCTGAACTTTAGTGTTGCACTTTCATTTTCTGTGGGTGGATTTGTACATCATAATTTAAGAGTATTGAATAAACCCAGCCAATTATTGCTTTATTCAAGAAATCTTGACATATGATGTTGTCGAAGCCATGTATAGATTTCTAGTAGGCCAGTTCATTAAAAAAAATTGGGTTTTTTCCTGCCTTTTGGAAAAGTATTAACAATTCCACTGGACGCTTTCTGGTTTCCCTTGCAGGCTGCATAGATGAAGTGAACTACGAGCCCTATTCTCTGCTTTTGCTCGAAGCTTTAAGGCAACATCCTGACAGTCCAGTGTTGGTGAAGAACGCCTGCCTTGCGCTGGCAAGCTTCTTGAGGACATCTGGTAAGACTTTTCAAGCAATGCTTGGATCTCATCACTTGGTAGATGAATAAGCCCAACCTGCATCCATCTTCCTACTGCCCCAGCCCCCTGGAAAAAAAGTGGGAGGAATGGCTTGCTAGCATGACAACTCAAGAATATTACGAGGACATTTCTGAGCCAGATCTGATTCAAAAGGGAACCCAACAGGTGGTGGGAACACTGGCAGAATTGTGCTCCGCATCAGCAGGCTGTTTTCGTTTGAACTCATATGGAATTGCAATCAGAGGACTATGTCTGAAATCCAAACATGCCAGGACTTGGAAGTGTTACAGCTTTCTAAGAGACAAGGGAGGGGCATTGCTCAGCTTCAGCATCGCAAGACTGCTTCTCATTTGCTTGATATCCAAGGATCTCCTAAGAGAGGGAAAGGAAGCCAACAGCATCCGCAGCCAGGACAGGAAGTCCGAGGGGAGCTCTGCTCTTGAGCACACCCAGGGAAACAAGCCCTAAAGCACCTAAGCACCCAGGCCAGACTGTCATACTTTCTTGCTTAAGCAGGATTTGCTGGAGGTGTACCGGCAGGAGAACCACCATGGATTCCTGCACTGAGCAGGAGGCTGAACTCATCTCCAAGATCCTTTCCATTTTATGATTCTGCAGTTTGTGGGGCAGAGAGGCAGAGGCCCCAAAAGCTACCCTTGAATATGCTTTGTATGGTCTAGCTCTGCACATTGTACAAACCTAGACACTGTGTTTGTAAATCAGGATATATGCTGATCTTATGCAAACCCAGTCAATTGTGGTTGATAAACCATGGTTCAACAAAGTTCAGTGCAGTGGGTGAACTTTAGCTGGGTGAAGGTTAGTGTTGCCTGCAGGGAAAGCTGGTTGATGATTTAATAAACTGTCTCCCTCTTTTCAGAGTTATCAGGTTTCCGATTTATAGTTACTGATGAGAAGGGCAATGGGATAATCCTGCTAAAGGACTGTTACCAGCTCCACCGGGAAGACCCTGAAGTGGTGGAAAACATTTGTATCCTGATTGATGAGATGTTCAAATATGGTAAACGTTTGTGCAGAATACTGTCTTCCCAGCCCTGCAAACAGATAACGAAAAAGGGGGTCTTGACTCATTCCACTTATGCAAAACCTTTATAAGCTGAGTGGCCTGGCAAGCAACGTAGAAAGGCTGGTTTTGCACAACTCATTTAGCCATAATGTGGTTGACTATGGGTCATGAGTAGGGTGAATGCATGAGTTAATAAAGGGAGTTACGGGTTAATGTGTTGTGTGAATCCAGCCAATGAGAAGGAAACTTTCCTGGTTTGAGGACCAGATCAGCTGAGAGGAAAATCATTGGACCATTCCAACCCTTGCAATCTCTGAACTTTTGAGAAAACTGTGGATGGGCAAAAGTGATTTCTCCTATTTTCTGTACTCATAGGCAATGCAACATTGAGCTTTGAGCCCCACAAACTTCACTTCAAACTTTGAAATTCTGCGCTCCAAATCTGAAAATGCTCAATTGGTGCTGACTGATTCTTCCCATTTCTTTAAATCACAGATGAAATTGTTGTGGAGATGGTTTCCCAGAGCATTACGGAAATGCTGACAGAAATGAAGAACAGGTTTACTTCTAGTTTGGTAAGGAGAACTGTCGGGGGGCCCACGAGACTTTTTGTGGCAACAAGATTTGTTTTACTCAGTTCTGGCCTGACTGTGCCACCAAGGTGAGAAATGGGAGAAAAGGAACTCAGAAGATGGGTAAGCAAGAAGTGAGAAGATGAAATGGAAAAATACCACCTTCTGGACTTGTTATTTCCTTCTGGGCAGTTCCTTAGATTAGGAACAGAGGAGAGAGAGAACAGACATCACAGAAGGGAAAACCAAGACATCATACAATACGCTAACCAACTCCCACCAAACCTGGCCAATTCCCAGAATTCCCCGGTCAGCATGGCCATTGCTAAGGATTCCAGGAATAGAATCCTGCCCATCTGAAAGTTGCCCAGGTTGAGCAGCACTGTACTAAATCATACATCATAGCTAACAAGTCATGCGGGCTATGTTCATTCAAGATGCCACGCCAGGATGGCTGGCTTCACAGAACATTATGATCTAAGGTGGTTTGTTCTGGTTTAGCCATAGCATTTGGTACACCATGCTAAATGACAATTTACAAACAGAACCTATATGTTGAGGCACATGTCGTTTAATCGACCCCAGGAATTGCCCTGTCTGATACCCAACATTTTGTATGCATTTCTCCCCAGAACATAGTTGCCCTATCAGAGAAGGCACTCTCAGAACTGCAAAAGAAAGGTGAATATTTTTTTTTATTTAGACATTTCTAGATGTTTCCAAAGTATGCACTTCTTAATAAAATATAACTTTTACTTGAAATTCCCACAGGGCTTCTAATCTGAAATAAGGCACAATTCCTGACAGAAGATTCCTTCTTGGACTTTTCCCTCTCCCATCAATTATTCCAAGATGAACAGGAACAGGAGTGAAAAGCTTTGGCTTCTTTTATGCAACTTCAATATTTATTTGTGAAATGTTAATGCGCCTATATGTTGTTGAAAATATTACTTTAAAGGTTATGCAGTTAATAAATAGGAAGCTAGATGCAATGATGGAGTCTTTTAAATAGGTAATTGCAACGATCATATCGTGGAGTACAGCAAAGAAGAAAGGATGGACCTGTTTAAGGTTTTTTGACCTACTTGGACCTAAGTCGCTGGAGAAGTGCATGTCTGTGTGTACATACAGGTTCAGGCAGAAAAGCCAAAATAGCACAGGGAGACTGTGCTTTGCTTTGCTGTGTTGATGCTGATGCTACATTACTGTCAATTTTGGAAACTCAACTCAATTTCAAAACATCTGCATAATGCAGGACACATAAAGAGAAATTGACTTAGATGGCAGAAGAGGTTTTCTTGTTTAAAGATCAGATTTCTTTTCCTAAGATCACCAAAGCACTGCAGCTCTCCTCACCTCTCTGAAGGATATCTGTAGCCAATAAGCTCTTACGCTTATTTTGAAAAGAAAAATATAATTCAAGAGGTGGACAGACAATCCAATAAGCCCAGTGCCATACTCAAAAAGAGGAATCCTGTTGCCATCTTTGCAAATGATTCTGGAATGGGTTTAGGGTTTGAGGCGTCTGGCCAGGGACGTGCAACTGATTCCTTGAGCTTGTATTCTCCTTGAACAAAATGCCCAATAGCCAACCCAGACCAGTAACTTAAGTCAGAAAAAAACAGGTTCAGCTGTATCCCACGAGATTCAAAAACTGCCATTTGCACAGCCTTCTGATTGAGTAACTAAACCCCCAATTAATTTCTGCATGATGCCCAATTCAGGGCAAAAGGAAAGCTGCAGAGCTGATCCGGCAAAGCTTTTGATCAGCCAGTGCTGCAGAGGACAGCAAACACAGCAGGACCAAAAGGTCCAGATTTATTCTTTCTTTGCCTTGGGGATTTCTTTGAGTGATGCTTCCCACTGTTTTTTCACCATGGTGTACAGTCGCATAGCAGCCTGGGCGTCCTGAACCTGGGAGACAGCGAAAGAAGCAGTGAGTGAAACACGGAACTTGCTGCTTCCAAACCAGTCAAAAGACGACAGGCTAAGAACGCCTACGGCTGAACTGCTGGAAAAACAATGTCCCCTCTGGTTGTTTCCAAAGCTTCTACAGAAGCGACCCCTAGTCTCAACAGAGCAGTGCATTTTTTCCCGTCATTTTGTTAGCCTTCCGATATATCAGCCAGGTCCTGGATTCTAATCAAACACTTACCGAACTGTGTTCTGAGGTCTGCACCTTCACATTCAGCAATTTCTCACACAGAAGTTTCAGGGATGGTCTTCCACTCTAGGGAAATAAGCAAGGATGGATTAGACAGAAGAACCTCACTCGATTTCTTTGCAGTGATACAATCTTAGTAACTCAGCCTCTGTTTGCAACTCTGACAGGTTTGCAGCAGCCACAGAAAAGAAGGTGAGAAGCTGGAAAGAAATCTCTTTGCTATAGTTTTGCTTATATGAGCTACAGTTTGCGCAACCCTTTGGTTTCAAAGCAAAAAAGGGGCTTTAGAACACGGGAGCAGGGAGCATTTTGCACGACCTGCAACTTCTTAATGCAGCCGCAGCATCTTTTCACTAGGCACAAGACCCCAAAAAGCTGCCATTGATTTAAAGAGTTACAGAGAGGTGCTAGTGCGTGTTACTCTTCTGAAGTGCTTTTTTGCCTTTGAATCCAAAGCATTGCAGAGCCTTATTAAAAGATAATTTGTGATAGTTTCTACCTTTCCAAGAGATTTAAACTAAAGCAAGATTCCTAAATGCTGAAAAGTAAAGCAAGAGTTTTGTGTAAGCAAAACTGTTAAATTGCTGGACCTGGTCCAGGATGAAAAATGACTTATAAATGCCAGTTGCCTCTGCTTAGAATCTGCTCCCTTGAAGTGATAAAAGGATCTCTTCCTACCTTGACTTGCTGTTTGAAAGGTTTGTATCTTTGTGTGTCCCGGATTTTCTTTTTTGGATGGTCAAGAAGTAGAATCTGAAAAGTAAAAAGGACCGATGGGAACGATTGTTCAGGGCCCCAAACCGTACCAGGCAGTCAACTGCGTGACAGATAGAAGCAAGACATTCAAGCGAAACATGAGCTGAAGTGAGAAGAAGCTAAACAACAAAGTATTACTTAAATTTCAGCCACAGGAGAATGATGGGGGTTGAAAATCCCAAGATTGGAAATCAACATTTCTCAGCTTGGGAGACGTAAAAGGCCAGGAAGGGAGTGGGGCTGAAAAAAACAGCTTGGCCAGAGAAAGTCTATGGACACTAAAACTAAAAGACAAGGCACCTTCTTTTACTTTAATAATTTTATATACACAGAGACAGAAGCTATGATTTATATAATGAATTGCAAGTGGGGAAGAAAGGATAAATAAGAAAAACAAACTGCACTGCAGAAACACACATCCTGAAGTCAATTTGAAGCAAAGGCCCATAAAGCTTATGCTACAGTACTTGGATTCAGTACCTTTAAATCGTTGCGAAGAGCATGTCCAACTAAGATCCTCCCCCTTAGGAGGTCAGCAACTTCTTTCTGGACAGTTTTAAAATCTTCCCCTAAAATTCCAAGAAAAGACAATGTTGCACAGGAAAGATTTTTTTATTTTATAAGTTTATATAGCAACAGGTGGGGGAGGGGGTATCTTTTTGAATGAAGTCATAGGTTTTGTTAAGGATTCCTTTAGGAAAAAGAGAGAAGCCATGGTTTATCCACATTAAAGAGACAAGTCATGGTTTATGCACATTAAGCAGTGAGCGGAATAGTAACAAGGAGCAGGAGGAAAAGCAGCCTCTGTATCCAGGAAACCTGCATTTGCAGCTATACCAAATTATCCTCAGATGCTCCAAAGTGTTCTTGTTGGAAAGGATTTGTGTTTTCTTTCACAAGGACTCTGCTAAAATGGGCTAGAACTATTATTCATACTTTCTATTTCCTTTCAGGCTCTTGAGCTTGCTACAAATTGGGAAAGCACCCATAAGTTAAAGCAAAATTTATTACAATTATTGAAAACAATTCAGAGATCAATTAAATTACAAACCAGGCACAGGGTAGTACAAAGTTGATATTCCCACTATTTTGTATACATTGCATTATGTTTAATCTCAACCCATTTTGTTCCAAGGTATTTCAAAAAAAGATTGCTGCCCAGACAATCCTGTTATGGCTAATATCCTCAGCTATAAGAAGCCAATTTTTTCATTTTTGTTGAGCAGGATGCTTGAACCCAGCCAACGAGGCCTTATTCCACAAACCATGCTTAAAGAAACCAAGGCTCAAGGCAACATGTGAACCCAATCGGTAAAATGCTAAATCCCCAATTAACCAGCAGTCTGATTCAGCATGCTACAACAACCTAGACATAAAGTCCAAACTAAATCAGCCAGCCTTCTTACCTTTTTTTAAGTGCTCAGGCCGAATCCCACTAACTGCGGTTCTGTAGTCTGTCACTTTTTCTGTAGGCTTGACATACTTGTCATAAATGCATTTGCCAAATAGGTTCACAACCGAGACACGGGCCAGGATGCTATCTTCACCAGTGGGCCCTACACCCACCATCTCACAATCTATGGCCACTGCTCTGGTCAAACTGCCAAAAAAAGGTTTCAATTAAATATAGAAAAATAACCATCTGCTAACTTCTTTCCTTTTGCTGTTATGATTTAAATTGAGTAAGGCCTCCCACTTTAAAAGACTCCAAGTGGCTTACGACATCACAAGATACAATTAAAACAGTTAAACACATGACAGCCCAGACTAAAAATCTTGACATGGGCCCCACAAACTTCAAGCCTTGGAACAGAGCCAGGTCTTTAAGGGCTTTCCAGAACCCCAGGAGAGAGGGTGCCATACAGATCTCTGGGGGGATGCTGTTCCAGAGGGCAGGGGCAACAACAGATGACCATTTTAATTGAGGGGACCAGGAGTGCACCCTCTCTGCCCAAGTATACAAGTGGGCAGAAACAATTGGAGAAAATGTTAATATCAGTTTTGCTGTTCTAATCAACATCAGCCCTGCTGAAAAACCAAACCCCTCATGATTGATCACTTTGCTGTTAGAATAGGCAAGTGCAGTGCAAAACAAGCAGACCCTGCAATCAAGGGGGACAAATATAACAGAGGAGAGTTTTAATGTGTTGCTGCAGCAAACATGGAAGTGGAAATTACGTTACGTGAAAGGTGACCTCTTTTTGAATCTTGAAAATTAAAAGCTCACACATATTTTTCTGATTTTTCTCAAAGCTTTCATACTGAGACTTTGGCTAAGCCCCAAGCTTGCTTAAGTGAACAGACCAATGTCTCAGATGAAAAGCAGAGCAACATCCAGCTAATAACTCCCTAAGTGTTCAACCCTCTGAACCCAGACAATGGTTACCCTTCAAAAGCATCCTTTTTCACCAGAGCATGTTCAGCCAGCTGCTGGGCTCGCTGGTCCTTGATGCCCAGATTTTCTCGGGCTACTTTTGCAGCTTCTGGTCCCAAGGCTGCCTCAATGTCATCTGGATCAACGTCATCAAACCAGATGCTAGAAAACCAAACAAAGCAAAAGATAATGAGGGGAAGAGAGGACTAAGAATGTCCACTTCACTTACCCACTGTACATCCTCTTGAAATAATTTAAGGAAGTCCTGAATCATTACCTAGTTCCAGCTTTCAAAGATTTAGGCAGGAGGCCTTTGTAAGAAAAATGAAGACCCTCCTTATCCAAAAGGGAATTAAGAAGGGGTGCAAAGGTTTCGTCCTTCTTCAGGTGGCTTTCTTGAAATGTAAAGAAAGGGGCTATTTTTTCTTTTATCTCAAGGTGCCTTCTACTGAGACAGACCATGGATCTACCAAAGTAACAGGGTTTATGTTGACGATAACAGCTCTCTAAGGCAAGCCCCATCTAGCTACTCCAAATCCTTCTAGCTCCAAATGTTGGCTACTGAACCTGGAACCTTCTCAAATGCTTTACTGTGGACATATGGTCTTTTCCCCAAGAAAACACAGGAGTTGTATGTGTTTTTTTTTTTTTTGGTCTGCGCTCAGTCATTGCTGACCCTGCAGTGACTGCTTGGACG